AGATTTAGATTATTTACACACGCCATTCATGGGAGAAAACTTGGGATGGTTTGCGTTTTTGCATTACCAACTTTACTGTTTCATTTTTTGTGATGTGGCGAGCCACCAATCAAAAACATTAAGTAAAACATAGTTTTACACAATTATTGGAAGATAAATAATCATTATAACCAATAAACATGATCAATTCGGCACAATTTTCATCATACTAAACCAATGAATGGTTTCTCCTGGCCATATCTCTCCATCGTAACGGGAGTGCCATGGTGCTCAGAGATGTGCCAAGGAGACCCTGTGATGCCTCAGCGAAGAGTGAACTTCTCTGACGCCATTTTCGGGAAATCGGGAAACCTGCCTGACACTAGATGGGTTTGTCTGAAAACAGGGTATATTCCCAATTATAGCCATTTAAAAACGGGATAATGATCAGCAAAACCATTGGGTAAAAAGGGGTACACTATTTTCAGATACACCCAGATAAATTTCTTAAAAGATCATCAAGCATGGGGTATCTACATGTCTCTCCCCATCAGATTTAATGGTTGTTTTTTAATAAAGGTCGTCCCAAAATGTTGTTTCAGCTTGGCACAGCCAAGTCACAGGCGCTCTGAATTTGGAGGTTGGGCTGCTGTCCCTGCTCCTGCGGCTGATTTTGGGTGCGCATCGCAGTTGAGATGGAACATCTCCAAATGACGCAATAGATTCCAGAATGGTTGGTATACCCATGAGTTGGAAACCAATGGTGCTTTTTTCTGTTGGTTACAAGAAGCGGGCGCATCTGATGGTTTCACCAAACCGAACTCAGTTACACGACGGTTCATACCCGTGGCTGGTGTCCCATCAAGTCTTAATCATGAAATCCTCAATAACTATGGAAAATCACCATCAAAAATCAACATTAAATCACAACTACAATCACTAACTATTAACTCTAATCATTGATCAACAAGGGTTTAGCAGCCACAGCTCACCCCTAAGATCCACATTAAACCACGAAATCCATATTGAATCACCATTAAACCCCATGAAATCCCGGTAAATCCCATTAAATCCCATTAAATCCTCCATTGAATCTCTGGTAAAACACCATTAAATCCCGGGTAAATACCATGAAATCACCATGAAATCACCATGAAGTCATCCATCTGCCATCCTTCCATTGAGACACCAAGGCCACACTCAGGGGCCAGGTGCTGGCGGCCACAGCGCTGCCCAAAGATGCCAGGCTCCATGGCATCCTGGTGATGTGTCAACGAAACCATTGGAAAATGGTGATGTTAAGCAACAAGTTTATGAGGGATTTTATGGGATTTATCACTGATTTATGGGATTTTATGGGATTTATCACTGATTTATGGTAGATAAATGGGGATTTTATGGGATTTATCACTGATTTATGGGATTTTATGGGATTTATCACTGATTTATGGTAGATAAATGGGGATTTTATGGGATTTATCACTGATTTATGGGATTTTATGGGATTTATCACTGATTTATGGGATTTTATGGGATTTATCACTGATTTATGGTAGATAAATGGGGATTTTATGGGATTTATCACTGATTTATGGTAGATAAATTGACTTATAAGTTATATAACTAGGGCTGATGATTGGGAATAATTCATGGTTTATAAACCCTTTCAAAACTTGAAACCACTATTGTGGGACATCCTTCTGGAACACTTGGGGAATACTCTTGACACGGTGAGAAGCGTTAAATGAAACATCTACGCAGAACAATGGCAAGTAAAGTTAAGGGTCCTCTGCGTGGGACAAAGCCGTTTCATTCTCTCATTCATAAACCGTTCTCAGCTGCACCCCGAAGTAACATACCATTTCATGAAATTATACTATCATATCAGCAATTCATCACCCGCAAAATTTCCCCTGCTTTGTCCACCTATTAATCACCATTCCCCCCTTTTTAAATGTATGGTTTACTGGGATTGACCATCCCCAGTCCTTTCTTCCATCTGCTGCAAGGTCTGTATCGCCTGCGGCCATCCCTCTGCACGGAGCAGGGTTCCATAGGACACCGCGCTCAGTTGCAGGGCGGCGCCCGTGGCGGCCTGATTTGGAGTCGATGTCAAGGGGGTAAGCAGTCTATGGGGATCGATGCAAGTTTACTGGGGATCTCTAGATGTAATGACGAATCTAAATTCATAGATCGACATTTCATGGCTAAGAAAGCCATGATTGTTCCACATTTCAGGTCGATTTTGTAACGGGATGTATCTTCTCCAATCAACATTTTGTAAGAAATGGGAGACCGATGGTGGTGAGGAATCTGGATGCCAACCACCTGGAAAAACTCGGATATCTCAATGGATCCACCTTTGCACACAACGAACTTTCTAGGGATTTTCATACAGCAGTGGTTTTTTTTTTGGTTTGAAAATCCCATAATTTATTATGGTTTTCATAGCACTTTCTAGGGATATACCACTAGCTATACCATGGTTTGATATTGGAAACCCTCCCATGGATATATCCTCCCATGGTTTTTCTGTGGGATCTAATGATTCACCATGTCCGACCACTGAATCCAAAACTGGATCGGTGGATCCCACTGCTCACTAATGGATGGCTCGTATATCCCAAAGCATGTGATATTTGGTAGGTAGTTTCACCTGAAAAATCTGTTCATCATTGCGTATCAGCATCCCATATCATCCCATTTTTCTGGTTGAACATATTTGACACCATCAAGCACCCAAGTAGATTAGCTCCAGAATGTTTGCTGCTTATCTCATATCACCAGATTGGTAAACTCTCCATCTGTCCATTTAATTCTGGTATATGCTGATGAATTCTGGTTGGTGGTATACCTACCCCTCTGAAAAATGATGGAGTTCGTCAGCTAGGATGATGAAATTCCCAACTGAATGGAAAGTCATAATCCATTCATGTTCCAGTCACCACCAACCAGAATTTGATGGGCCACCCCCAGTTCCACCTCCAAGACCTCCAGGGCACTGGTCCATGCCATCGCGAGGATGGCATGGCTGGCCGCATTGTAGGACACCAAGTTGGCTTGCGACCTGCGAGGCTTCGTGCTTCGTCACAGAAAGTCCAATTCACCATCCATAAATCTTAGAGTTAAGGCCTGAAATACCAGTTTTAAATGGCTATAAATAAGGGTCATAAACCGGGTTATCATTCCACAAATGGGGTGAACAAACTGACTTATAACTGGTAAAGGGCCTGAACTGTAGCATCCTTTGGCAATGACTCACAGTTTGCGAATTGGACAATTTCTGCATTTTTCGATGGCTGAAATTACGGGAGGGTACGTCCATTGAGCCGGTTTTCCAATGGATTATATCCTCAGCTGCTGAACAACTATTAATTTTGAACCAGCATTGACTCCCCACATTGTTTAAGTTAAATCGTTGTGTTTTGGTGAAATCATCCAGTTTTCGCTGCAGAAATCATCTGCATACACCTGTTGGCTGCTTCAATTTCCTCCAATCTGTTGGCCAAAACTCAATTCTCTGCCAATTTCGCTTTCTTGCGAATAAAAACTCGCTGTTTCTGTTTGTTAAAGCACCAGTTTTCTGAAAAATGCTACTCTTCACTCTTCCCATCGAGAAGCGCCTCGACTCCAGTTCCACCAAGAGTTGCAGGGCGTAAAGCCATTGCAGCGCGTCACCAAGGGCACCTAATGGGTTGATCGAAGGGAAAACCACCATTTTTTTATAACTCATGGAACTAAATGGGCCATTTCCATACGCTAAAAGTACCAGAGTCTAGTATTTACTTGGATATTTCTGAACTATATCCAAATAAATCTGTTTTGAAATAGCTATTTAGGGCACTTCTTTTTCAAGGATTCAAGTGGAATCTGCGGGGATCACACATCTCCCAGCACTTTGGCCAACGCCGCGAAAGCGATTTAGGTTGAAACATGAATCGAATCGAATGAACCACCATAAAACGACCATTTTTATCACCCAAAAACCCACTAAAAACCACCAAAATCCAACATCATTTGGCAGCAGAAACTGTGGGAAAAACCGAGGCACCCATGGAGCTACTGGACACCACTGCGTTGAGCTGCAAGCTTTGCTCCTGGGTTGCAGCATGGTCAACAGCAGCCTACTGGGTATCGTGGGGATATTTCACCCAAAATGGGGCTATGTAATCAGCAAAGATGGGAATATAATGGGGATATCATGGAAATGTCAACGTTTCTTTTGATATAACTGAGCAAATTGAAACATCACAAGTTACCTATGACTCTGCGCCAGAAAAAACAACTAGTCATTCGGATTGATCACAAACTAGGGATGGAGAGCCAGCAATTGAAACGGCAAACCAGGACACAAAAGCCATGTTGCTCTGTTTGCGACAGGTAATCTTGCAATTCGATCATGCACTTTCACACCAACCTCTCTATGAGTCGGTGCGTGCATAGAAAAAAACTGGGTTTTATACATACATGTATACATAAACGTATATGCATATGTATATATACGTATATGCATATCTATATATCTATATATCTATATATCTATATATGTATGTATGTATAAATGTATATGTGTATATGTGTATATGTGTATCCCGTCATATCTCCATCATATCCTTAATCAAATGCCACCATTTTTCAATTATGTTTTGCCACTTAATAAACCATTCCATTGTATATCCCATTACATGATGGTTTTGTGGACCAACTTTCGTGATATTACTAACCATCTTTTGTTATCCCATTCATTGTTATTTCATTACATTCCAGATTTATATTCTATAGTTATTCCACTTATAATATAAAGATAGCTATAAGTTCTGGACTATAAAGATCATTCTTCGCATTATTATCCCATAGTCATTCTATAGTCCAGAACTGGTTGGTGGTATACCTACCCCTCTGAAAAATATGAAAGTCAATCAGAAGGATTATCCCATAATTCGATACCCTCTGGCAATTTAACATAGCTATGGAAAATCACCATTTTTAATGGGAAAATCCACTATAAATGGCCATTTATGTTAGTTTACGGGTAATTCTCCCACCAACCAGCTGGTTAATGGATGTTTACACAGGTTAATTAACCTATGGTTACTGGGAGATCCCATAATAATTCGATAATTCTCCCACTGTTTCATGATTTCTGGACCGACTTCTCCCACTTTTTTTGGGTCACCCGGTCTCCGGCAGTCGCTGCAGCAGCTGCAAGCTCCATGGCCAGCGGCGGATGGCATGGAGCGCAGCGCCCACAGTGATGATGTTCGCCGGGCCCTGGGGGATCCCACCAGGGTGGGATAAGCCTACAGGATGGGGCCCCCCAGTGAAAAAAGTGGGTTTATAAACCATGAAATAAGCCCTATGAACTAGTTCGTTATATCTACCATAAAGCCACTTTTTTCAGGCAACTGAACGCTATCTTGGGGGCCCCATCCTGTAGGAATCGGGGACTTATCACCAGGGGTACTAAGGGTAACCTTGGATGGTTGAAACCCTACAAATACTGGGATAAACCATCTATCAACCATCCATAGTTATGTTAGTTTACCAGAGGGTACTGTGGATGGGCCAGCGAAAGCCGAATCACCAGTTGAAGGCGGTGGTAAACATCCCACTATTTCTAGGGTTTCAACCATCGATTTCCTATGCAACCATCCATCGTATCACCAGGGGTACTAAGCACTTACTAAGGGATCCTCCAAGTGGATCCTGACTTGGTGGGTTTAGGGGAAAACTAGGAGAAAATGGTGAAGCATCAAGAAACATCATAGTTAGAAATACGGTTACAATGCAGTTGGATATAGACCAATAGTATATATGGCTTATGAAACGCGAACTGGGATGCGCCTAGGGGGGGGTGGTTTAAGTGGGAAAAACCATGGGAAACATGGCGGGAGTTATGGAACTCATGCCGGTTTTATGGGAAAATGGTGGTTTGAAGTAGCCACAAAGGGCCACAAGAGGGGTTTGGAGCCTCTTTCTTGCTGGGTGAATTTGCATTCTGTTGAAAAACAATGAGTCTTGCTGGTTAAGCATCCATTTTATTTGTAAATCAACCTTTTGCTGGTCAAAACCCGATTCTTGTTGGTTAGATCATCCAACTATATACTCTTGGGTAAAATCAACATTTTGCGCGTAAAAATGAATAATTTTGATTGAACTCCAGTGTTTGGTCCATATTTTGCTGATTGAAACTCAAGTTGGGGATGGGTCAAAACCCTGGTACCTAGTGAACCCCAAAATAGCTGGTAAATGGATGTTCATCCCACTAAAAACGGTATTAATAGGTATTGACCCATACCCAATAGGTATTAGTTGGCTAAAACATCCATCTACTGCTGGATCAACCTGCATTCCGTTGCATCTTTTCCACGACCACACCGCACCTTGTTCGACAGCAGCGAGAGAGCGGGCGCCCAGCGGCCCCGCAAGGCGTTGAACAGCGACGTTCGGGTGATATCATTCCCTTCCAATCGCCTCCAAAAGGGGCGGAATGTTTAGAGTGATCTGGGCCAATATAGGGGTTACTACATATGCTACAAATAGGAGATAATGATAAAGGACAACTGATAACTGACATATATGTATTATATATATATATGTATTATATATATATGTATTATATATATATATTATAAATATATGTATTATATATATATATGTATTATATATATATATGTATATCAATTAAATTCCGAAACTTGTATCACAGGCAATTTTGGTAACTCTTTATTTTTTCTATGCTGAGGTTGGCCGGTCAGGTCGATCGTTTACTTACCCAGACGAATGTTTGACGTCGATGAGATGGAAAAAAACACCTCCAGCATGTAGATCAATACGTAGCTGTACGCATATTTCCATATATTTCCTATCTGGGTATTATGGTTGTGGATCAAACTTGGTTACCAGAAAAAAAGAATCGTACCCAGGCTTCAATTTTGATCCATACAAATATTGAATCAACCCATTTGAGCCTTCAAACTACCCCGGTTGATTGCTTATTGCAGGGGGTTGTACTCTCTGTTATACTAACCCACAATTAACAGGATGCCTTATGAAGGCGGGTATAAATGTATTGGCTCAAACTGTAAACAAAATACCTACCAAGAGGGGCCCCGCAAGAATGTTTGTTGATGTAGTTTCAGCCCATGAACAAACCATGCCTAAACTAGTTAATAATATCCAACTTCACTACCATAAAATCAGGTATATCAACTAGAAATCCCGTTGTTCTTGTTGCTTTTTTCCACCTATTTCACCCATTCCTATAGGCTAAATCCTACCATAACTCTCCCGAAAGTTCGCTGGTCGCGCCTTCGAAAAATTTCATCCCAGTGCTGCAGCGCCAGCTGCCACCGCAGCTGCTTAGCACTGTTGCTGATGGCAGCATTGTGGGCGATGAGATCCATCCATGGAATCCATGGAATCCATGGCCAAAACGAAAAAATTGGGCAAAATGCCAAGTGTTCAGAAAAAAAAAACATTGGGGGACACATCATCCATTCAATCATTGCTGGATGGGAAAAAAACACCGAAGTTTCAGATTCGGAGTGTTTTTTTGCGATATAAAACGATGGTGTTTCTTACCGCCTCCAAAGTCCACCCAGGAAGGAGGCCTTTTCAGCCCATGATCCGTGACCTTCACCAAGCGAACACATGTTATTCGTTGAAATCGAGGAATAGGCACGCCTTTTTTGAGAAAGCCATGGTAGGGATTTCAAGAGAACTGAACCTCCAAATTGTGTCAAAGGGAATTGGCTTAGGGTACCAATGGACCCACAAACGGCTGGTCATTGATTGAAGCACCCGTTTGTTGGGCGCAATATGCAATAATTATAAGCATTTGGAAGCCAATGACCCCAACTTCATCGGATATCAATTTCATCTCCGTTTTCCTCCATAAGTTTTTTCTATGCTTTCCCACATGTTGTCGCATGTTTGTTGCTTGATATCACCCATTTACCCTCTGGTATATCCACAAAATAATATGGAACACCCATGGTTTCCCTTATGTGAAATTACTAGAGGGTAAGTAACTGGCTAATAACCCTGGTTAGTAAGTCCCGGATTCGTGGGTTACACCACAAATCAGTGGCTTATCACTATGGTTACTAACCGGTGATGTTTCGCCCTGATAAGTGGGATGATTACTAAGATTACTAATCAGACTATAGTTACTATGGCAACTATGGCAACTAATAGATATCTAATGGCAATAACTATGACTTATGTTGCCATAGTTACTAATCAATGGCCAATAACTATGGATTACTAAGATCCTCCAAGTCACCCCCCTGCGACAAAAGCATCTTTTTACGCCATCGCCCGAAGGGCCGCAAGGCCCTGTTCTGGCAGCAAGGCTAAGAACTGCCTCATGGAACAGAGCTTGGTTGGGAAAACAGGAACACCGTGGTCTTTACCCATGGTTTATAGGGATTATTTGGAGGCTAACTAGCAAGAAATAGCACGACTGTTTTTTTTTTTAAATGGATTTTTGTGACCTTGGATTTCAAGAAAAAACACCAAACCATCTAGGATGAAAATAACCAGGCCTCACAAATGTACTGGTGGAACAACTTACAAATCTGCCAAAACAAGGGCTTTGTAAGCAAGGGCGTCCCTTTCAGCAGTGAACGTGGCAACACTTCGGTTTTTGGGCATGTGATGGCATGTGGCCCCTACTCCAAAGACTCTCAAGTGGTAGTTTCAAAATGAGAAAATGGTTGGCGGTTTTTCGCCACCCCTCTGAAAAATGATGGAGTGAAAGTCAGTTGGGATGATGACATTCCATTCCCAACTGAATGGATAAATCATCCATAAAACAACCATTTTGGTAGGTTTTATGTACCCCACAATCCATTCATTCATGTTCCAGTCACCACCAATCAGTGAATATTAACCATTAACCATCATTAACCATCATGAAATCCCATACATTTCACCAATGTTCCAGTCACCAACCAGTCATTAATGATGGGCTTTTCACCCGGAAATTCACCGAAATCGCTTGGAAACCCCACCTTTGCCGCCTCCAGCGTGCACTAAGGTCGCAAATGGCTATGGCCTCGCCACAGCAAATGGCCTAGGCGGACGGTCCCATTGAGGTTTTGAGGTACCGAAACATGGTTTCCATTAAGTTATGAGACTTTACCAGAGAATATATACATATATGATCTAAATTTAACTATATTTCACTAACCTGTGTTAACTTCGGCCTGTGGGCATGATTTCCCGACATAAAAACCATGATGGAAATGTTCCAGTTGGCCATGTTTTTGGGCAACCATCGTCACCAATTGGGTGTTTCCCATGGTGTACCCTCTGGTAAACATACAAAAAACTGATGGGAAAGATCCACCATGCTATCAATGGGAACATCCACTATTTCGACTGGGTCATTTTCAATAGCAAACTGTTAACATAACCAGAGGGTAACACTGCCATCCTGCCATTCCAAAACAAGTGACATTGAGAGCCACGGAAGAAGGCTCCAGCTCTTCCTGGGTGAATGACAGATCCATAGCTACGACTGGGTTGATCTAATTTGGTGGCTTGTAAATGTAGTTGGAAACAATGTTGGTTCTTATACATATATACATACATATACATATATCTATATACGTATAATATACATTATATATATATATATGTATACATGTATATATATATATAACATTATAACCAAGTCGTGGGTATAATCCAACCTTTTGGTGATGAAACTAACTGCTGATTGTATGTTCCATTCTGGTTTTTAACATAGCCATGGAAAATGACCCATTTATAGATAGTTTACCTATTAAAAATGGTGATTTTCTATGGCTATGTTAAATAACCAGATGGTATTTGGAACTGATCAGGCCTAATTCATGGCTTAATCGAATCCAACTTTTGAATTTAGCGGCTTAGTATACATCCCATTTTTTTTTATCCATGAATATCTCATGAAATCCGAATTCGAATCAGTTAGTACCAGTTAGTAACACGACATATCCCACTTTTCTCCCACTCAATTCTCATTTTTCTCCCACGAACTCCTCATGATCTCATGATTATCACCGCTGTGCCTGCTGAAATCCCAAAACCTCCGGGTGAGATCATCTCCACCGCTGATCCGCCAGGAGATTTCTGGTGATGGGACACGCCACCAAAAACGACCGATTTAGGTCTCATCCCGAACTTGGATCAACTCCCATTGGGCAAAGATAATTAGGTATCATTCTATGGTACTCATAATTATAATGGGCAATATATCAGCCATAATGATATATTTAGGTATCGTTCCTAAACCAGGAAGACTATGTTTTCAAATGGGCGTTTTCCTCAAATTCTAACCATCAGGTTCCATTAATGGTTTGGTTCAATCCCCATTCGCTTCTTGGAGATTCATCCTGGTTGGATGGCTAAATTCCCCATATCCCAGACCGCATCCCTGAAATCCCATATTTTTGTTGCTGAAACCAAACTGGGTATGGGTCAATACCTATAGATACATTTTAGTGGGATGAACATCCATTTACCAGCTATTTTGGGGTTCACTAGGTACCAGGGTTTTGACCCATCCCCAATTATTACAGGCTTAAACCCACCATTTTTTGGGGGGCTGTACATCACCAAGGCTCCATTAAGGACAGTTGCAGGTGCCACGTGGCGCCGTTTCGCACGGCTTTCAGCGTGCTGGCGAAGGTCAAGACGTCGACGTTTCCGCGTCCGCAGCCAGTGAAGAGCTGGACGGCCTCCTGGCGGTCTGATGTGATGCCCGGCCTGGTAAACATAGAAAAAGCTATTGAACATGGCCATAGAAATAGTGGATTTACCCATTAATAGCATGGTGATTTTCCCATCAGTTATGTAAACGTTTATCAGAGGGTATATTGTGTGTGTATATAGAGATTACATATGTCTCACAAGCTTTTCTTGCTTTATCATTACATTCCGGCCCTGAGAGACTTGACTGTGAGATGAGGTGAGCTTGTCCAGCAGTGGTGTCAAGTGTGGGATCCCCAACTCACCATGGTTGTTTCAATAGTAAAATGATCGAATGTTGGATGATTTGGGGTACCCCTATGACTTAGGAAACCTCCATATTTGGGATTTCAACTTGACATGCTCAGATGAGGCTACTAAGAGGTTTCCTGTACCTCCCTGGAAGAAAGAACCAAAATTGTACGGAAAATCCTGCAGAATCTTGGTTCCAGCGAGGTTCAAGTAACTATCCCTTGGTATCTTGTCATGCCAGAGAGAGATCATTTCTCTGGCGATTGCTACTGTCAGACTAGTTGGGATATTGTCGCACTTGGGATACTGTGACTCAACTACTCAGGATGCCCTTACACTATATATATATAATTACATATATATATATACATATATAATTACATATATATATATAATTACATAGTACCTTATTAAGCCTTAATAAGGTTTAATTAAGCCCAAATAGCAATTAAATTCTTATTATGGCCTTATTTCAGGTTTATCTTGTAGGGGGGGTTCAAAGGGGGGGGTTATCATTTTGTGATTATACATATATATATATGTATATTATATATATATATTTACACACATGGTACCCCTCAAAAACCATTAAGAAAACCGAACACGACAGGATATGGGCAAAGGCAACAGACGGTATAAGCCCCAAAATTTCATCGAACGTAGTGATTTTAACCAGCAAAAGTAGGATATCAATCTACCAAAACACTGCGAGGTTTGAACAAACGAAACAAATATCGAGGTATATAGATAACATATGATCCACCATATACAGTATATACATATAGTTACATATATAAAGGTTCTATCTCGAGAGCAACGCATTTTCCAAGGTGGTTCATAACAATGTTAACGGATAAGCCATGGTGGATGTATTTGGAGTTGGACACCAAACCACCTTGAGGGCACATTTTCTCAACCATCGGGGTCTGAAAGAACGATGGAGAAAAATGCCAAAACCACGATCTTGTCATGTCGGCCCAAACATCAGAAAGTAAGGTTTCCCAAAAACGCTTTCCGACAGGGCAGTGCTTCGCTGTGCATCTGCGGCATAGCAGCGATGAACTTGAGGTCGGATTCGGCACAGCATCGAAATTTTCTATGGCTGGTTGGTGGTTTTTCGCCCTCTGAAAAATGATGGAGTTAAAGTCATTTGGGGTTATTTTACCTTATGACATACCCAATATGATGGGAAAAATAAAGCCAAATGTTCCAGTCACCACCAACCAGATGGCATTCTATGGTCATTCCCTTGGTGGCCTGACCCCTGACATGCGGAATGCTGCAGAATGCCACAGCCATTGTGGGACAATTTTTGCCTTGTGGCACGAAAACGGGAAAGGAACGTCCTTAAACATTTGAGAAGTTCGCCAGGTGCTGGAGTATCTCTGGCAGATTGCGGCTGTCCATGCAAGGCGGCGTAGCCGAATTGTCTCATGGAGCATTTTGGAATTGTCATTGCACTTGCTTTTCATGCCCATATGGCAGTGTGTCAAAACCTTGTACCCCTAGTGAACATCAAAATAGCTGGTAAATGGATGTTCATTCCCCTAAAAATGTTATTCATAGGTATTGATCCATGCCCAATTTTTTGAGGGTTTGTTTGTTCTTGCAATGAACATTCTGAAGCAAACCATCCACACAAAAATCAATCAATTGGCTTCACTTCCTCCTCAAAATGGTGTAGTGACCCACCCCAAGATTCAGATCATGGGACGAATCCCAATGGTTACAGCTTAAATCCACATTCTACTAGTAATAAGGCATTTTTTTCGGAACAACAGTGGGGGTTCTTACCATGCTCACAGCCATAAAAGATCATCCCAACACCCTCCTTCCAGCGTTTGCACTTTTCGGAGGCGCTGATGGCAGAGTTGAAAGTGAAGACGTCCAACTCCAGTCTTGCGGCCTTTGGTTTGATGAGGAATTCCCAGATGATAATAATCCCCAAGTCATATTGGATAGTATGCTTTGGACCATGGTTTATTTGACTACAGTAAATGATTGGGAGCGGCACTTGTTTCATGATAATTACAAGTAAATAAAGTTTGATAGGCTAAGCACTCATGGTTGATCAGAACAATATCTATTCGTGGGGATTGGCACCTATTTCATCGTGAAATAGCTGTATTTGAGAACCTCAACCCTAGTTGTTGATGGTAAAGTAGCACCAACTTTCGCTGCTCAAACAACTTTTTCTTTTCTGTGAAAATTACTATCCTAGGCTGTGGTAGTTTAACATAGCCATGGAAAATCACCGCTTTCACTAGGTAAATCATCGAACAATGGGCCATACTGTTAAATTACCACACGGTACATCTCCTGCCGATGAACATCACCATTTTCTGCACATCCGAGCACCCGCCCGCCTGCATTTCGGCCATCAACGCTAGAGCCAAACGCCAATGGGCACCTGGAAAATGATAAACCACGATTGGGCACCGTTGACTCACAAATGGCTGCACATTTTCGGCAATGATATTTTTTGGGACCAATTTTGAGCGGTTGCCTTTTGCCACCTGGTTGAAACCTATTTGCTGCCCAACCGCGTTTTGCTTCACTGGTTGCAGTGGTTTCAACCCATCCCAAAAACATTAGTCAGGTTGGAAAAATCATCCCAGGTACAATTCAAGCAACAGATATCTGACCCACCAATTATCTAATTATCTAATTATCTAGCTATATATATATATGCATATTATGTCCATATTTCTCCTGCGTTTTTACTAGCTATGTTCCTTTTCGGTTGGCAAACTCCCCATCATCCTTATCCATCCCGGTAGCAGGGGATGAACTCACCTTCTTCGCAAGCGCTCACCGTCGAGTTGTAGGTTAACCTTGGAAGTGGTGGGGACGACTCATATGACGCTGGGATTTTAATGATCATGGGGATAATGACATCATGGGAATTTTTCATTCCGATATTAAATTCATGGGGATAATGACATCATGGAAATCTGAAGGCAATCTAAATATCAATCATGGTCTTTTGAATGGCTCAAATGGGTCCAAATGCCAATGGTTAACTAGCAGATGGGCACATTCCAAGAAAAACACATCAGTTTTGGCTAGTTAGTCAATTTCACATTTATATATGGGAGACACTGCGGGAAACAGCTACTCAAAAAACATTTACGCATGTTCACCCAGGGTATATATATATATATATATAATATATATATATACATAGATGTGGCTATGGATCAAAACCCTAGTAACCTAGAAAATAGCTGGCGAATGGATGCACATCTTCATCTCACTTTTTTCTTTGGGATAAGTTTGGACTTAGGCCCACACCCATATTCAGAATGAAGCTACCTGTTTGTTTCTTAGCAATCATCCAAATGCACAAGAGAATCCCTCGGGCCTGTGGATGTAGACAAATACAGAACTCCATTGTGCGTGAAACAGCGGTTGTGCTGGACCCAGTACAACTTGATAAATAGTCCCTTCCCGCTAATATTAAACACCCCAAAGAAATCCTGGTTGAGTAGGGGATTCTGACATAATGGGGACCATTTATGGGGTGTTTCATATTAGGGGGATGAGATTATAAATTTCATGAAGCAACCATTTTCCAACAATTCTGGGTCCAAACCATTTTCCAAACGCACCACAGCTGTCGGGCCACGAATTCCTTGCAAAGCACTGCATGGAGTGCAGCCGCAAGGCTTGCGCCCAACGATCGCCTCTGACGCACCTTGGGTCATCGGGTTATCGGGTCATCGGATCTGCCGCCTTGCAGTGCTGAAAAAGTTGGAGTATCATGTGCACCCTTTAATATATGGCACAATGTATATATATATATCTATATATTATACAAATAACATGGCAAGTGTAATGCAGAAACTGAGGTCTCCTAGCACTGGATTCATACATCCTTATGTGATTTAAATAAATACATGCCTAACTAACCAACCAACTAACCAACTAACTAACTAAATAAATATATATATAGTATACATTGGATAAAAGATAAGATCCTCGGAAAGCACTGGTGGTGATTTCTCGCGCAAATCGAAGATCTTCTGTGGTATTTTAAAGCCCAAGGCCAGGCGGCCTTTACCATCCCATGTAACTCGGGCCTATCAAAGAACTGTAAGTCACTGTTCTCGGACTCAAAAGAACAAAAGAATACAAAAAAATGCAAAAGATCAATGGGAATTTCAGGATCCTAAAATGGAGGTACTGTACCATATAATGATAACAGAGAAGAAACAACTAAAGAAGCAGAGTGATGGCTTCAAAAAAAAAATGTGGCTCTGGCTCCAAGGCAAGTCTTGTAGCCCTGCAAAATTGGGTAGCTCGAGAGTGATTCGGCACAGGTGGCAGGAAGTCTCCATAGACTTCCCTTCCAAATCACCGGGATGTACATGAGCCGCTGGACAAACCATAAGGAACAGTTGTTCCGAAGTTCCTAATTGAAAAGGATCTGTCTAGGAGTATAGCCAATTTCATAAATCTCAAACTTGTGGATTGTTTATGGCATTGGGTTTACCACATTACTTCATATTACGGGTCCGGGATTACCCGTCGTCAACCACTACTGAGTATCGATCACATTAACCACACATCGAAAATGATCTATTGCCCACATGGCGAATGGGATGGTGACTATGGCATTCAGCTTTACCACACATTCCAAGCCACGCGCTGATGGCAGCCCCCATGCTACGCGTCAGCTCGCCGTTTCCCGCAGCTTGCGGCGGCAGCGCTTGCGGCAATAGCCACAGGGCGCCGCGCCACGTGGCTTGGAGGACCTCGCAAATCCGCAGAACTACCAGGGATTTTAAAGCAAATAACAGCTATAATCAATGCCATATTTTGGGGGTATATCCCCTGAAATTTAGGCCTAAAAAATAGGCCATATACAGTATATGGTAGGTACCTCCAATGAATCGGTTCCTGAAATGGCCATTGATATAATAACCATCCAAGAAATGAGGATTTGATAAGAATGGCATTTGACAATGTGAAGTTGGTGGTATGAGCTAGTCAGCTAGTTCAACATGCTTCATTTAAGCTACGAACATGGAGACCTAAGTTGCTTGGACGCTATTGGATACAAACATTGGGATCTAACCATCAATTAGGGGTATGACGCTGAAACCATAGGGGGTTTCACCAACTTGGGGGGAAGTCACCAACACACTTGGGTGCAGCAGGCTGGAGGGAGATGGAATGGCCGGCACGGACCAACGATCGAAGATGCCATATCTCGGCAGATCCTATAAGTTGGATATATTTTTCCACCTTTTTTTCCATATGGATCTGGGTCAAAATGGAAGACCGATGTGGGACTACAGATGGAAATGTCTAGTTTAGTATTCACCATCCAATTATTGGGGTACCTAATTTTGACCCATACCCATATTTTCTGTGTCTCCACCTTGTTTCTATCTAGGGAGTCGTGAAAAAAATGGTAAATTCTGGTAGACAAGAGCCCATCTCGGAAGCGGATAAGCAACCCCAGCTTGGCCCATGGCATCAACAGCATTCGCTAAGTGATGTCAATTTTCCTGAATTCAACTGTACCACATGAGCCCTTTTACTCGATTTTTTCTCAATCTACAGAACATGTTGATTTACATCCACTTTTATTCATATGGGTATGTCTAAAAATGGGGTATACCCCCAATTATAGCCACTTAGTAGGGATAATGATCCTTAACCATTGGGTGTAGGGGTACACTATTTTCAGACAAACCCATATGTTTACTGGTTAACATCCCAATTCTCATGAATTCTTGCTGGATCTTCCCTGCCGCAGTGTCAAGGTGCTGGAAGCAAGGACCCTGAGCTAATACGGAGAGCGACTTGGTACCTGGGCAAAAATGAATGGTACCCCGAGCGCGAGGTCATGATCATACCGTAATGGATGAGAATGGACCCTTTTGTGAATTTTGAATGGGGGATGGAAATAGTGGATGCAAAAATATTTTTTTAATGGATAATTATCATGGATAGTATAGCACACCAGGATGGATACTGGACAATGGGGTATCATGTAACGATAGGGTCCCAAGCAGCCCTGGTGGAATGTGCTGGATGTATTCATTGGCGAGGTAAAACACGTGGTTTCCCCATGGTTTTGCGCCTGAAAATAGGGAGGTTCTGCTAATTTCCTATAAGGGAAAATGAGTATGGATAATCCATGATAAATCCCATTCAATTCGGGTTTCAGCCAATGGGCATACGGGAACATTTGCCAATCTAACCTTGACCATTAAAAGTAATTTCTCATCGATCCGAAACCAGACTTTTTGACCTGTTCCTTTCCGCCAACATTGATCATCATTTAGATTAGTAGGCTTGGCTGTGTGAGAACAAAAAAGGCACACAAGCCATACAAAACAGGGATTTTTCACTACAGGAAGGCAGTCCAGCAGTCCATGCAACATCGGAGCTTCATCAACGAACTGGTGGCATAGAAGCAACGGTCCAGTTTGCCAACTAGGAATGCTTGCACCAGATTTGCGAAGAATAGGCGGAAGCTCAATGTCCACTTGATTGCAGAACTCTTGGTGGTTGAAAACTCAAAGCTGATCGAACAAATGGGCAAATGCCCTCTATCCTTTTCCATGATCAAAAGGCTCTGTTCACATTGCCTGCAGAAGTATCATTCTAAGACGTGCAACTTGCAATCTGAAATTCTTGGATGTAAAATCATGGTTTCCCGCAGATTTTCCCTTAAGCCAATCCAGGGATTCACCATCACGGCACAAGGAGTGCAACGAGTGCATGGCATTGCGCCACCTGGCAGATGTTGGAACCCTGGGAAAGTCCTCTTATTTCTTTACAGCCCAAAATGATCCAACATCTCCAGTCCTAGTCTGTATACACGTATATATATATATACACACTATATATATATATACACACTATATATATATACACTATATATATATACTATATACTATATGTATATATATACATACTATATATATATATATACATACTATATATATATATACATACTATATATATATATACATACACATACATTATTATATATTTATATACGTATCTTAGGAACATTTGGGTAACTGCCCTCACGTTCAGGAGATGTTGGGATCTGGCTCTCAACACCGGCTCAACCGGCGAGCTATGCGTATCCGTAGGAGGTGGCGACTCATGGGGGGATACCCCAAAATGGCGCTTTCAATGGCAAACATACGAATTATTGATGGATAAACATGGATAATCATGGTAATTATGGATGAATAGTAATTAATATTATGGATAACAATGATGGTTAATAAAATTGTTGATGGATAATAGTAATTCATGGACAATATTGGAAAAATTGAGATAACAAGAGGAATTACTCCCCAGGAATTAACATTGGCTGGCTTTTATAAATCTCCAAATTAGAAGTGTCTAATATGCCACGTTTGATCACCGCAGGGTCTCCGTTGGAATTTAAGGTACCCCATTTTCAAACCATGGCTGGGTCGCTTTTTGTTATGTCAGGATCGTCCCGAAAGCCCCCTGGTTGGTGGTTTCAACCAACCCCTCTGAAAAATCATGGAGTGAAAGTCAGTTGGGATGATGACATTCCCAATGGAAAAAATATAATCCAGTCATGTTCCAGTCACCACCAAGCAGAGCAGAGCATTTTCGAGTGGCTTGAGGCTAAACTTTGACTTACTGGTGCGTTTTACGTGGGGTTGCTGGGGGTTGCTGGGATGATGACTGTGGTCATTCCATTGCAACTGGTTTCACCACAACTGGGGGGTGCCTTAGGTAACTTTCTTTTGGGATCTTTCTATGGTTGTAATAACTGTAACTATGGGTACAGTGGTTATATATCCATAGTTATTCCCAACCTATCTTTAAGTTTCTTTTGGGAAGAACTATGGTTGTAAAACCAGAAAAGTTGGGATATAACTTTAACTTGATATAACCCCTATAACTGTAACATAACTGTAACTATGGGTACATATCCACTGACAACTGGAACACTTCCAAGCAGGCAAAAACAGTCGCTTCTTCCCAATTGCTCAACAGTAGGTGTACAAGAAAACCCCTGTGAGTCGCTATGGATTCCCAAGCTGTTTCAATGAATCACCCAATGTGCAAGGGAACTATTTTTTGCCTCGAAATCGGATTTCAGCTAACCTGGGTGATGAATCCATGGCTGGCTTTGCCAAAGGTGATACCAATGGATACTAAATCCATCACTGGGGTGGCTACTGAGCTGGTACCGCATTCCCAAGCGACAAAAAAAAACGGGGCTATCCCAGCCTGCCGTGGCCATAGGAATTCATAGTGGCATTGAAGGCAATGAGATCGGGCTCCAGGTGCTTCTCCTGTGATCCCCAGTCGACCTCAACCTATCGTGATATCAGTGATATCCATATGGGCAAAATAGGAATTTGCATTGCAAAATAGCAGATATGTCTTGTGGGAGTTTTGGGGGATCCTCGATTTTTGAACATCAACGTACCATTATTTAGTATCAACCCCAAACAGAGCATATCAGACGAGTTTGAGACTGGCTTTTTCGACTCTGCGATCAAGAGCACAAAAAGCCATAGAGCTTCGACCATTTATGCAGTTTTTGGTCAACTCTAGTATTGAACAATCTCTTCTCATCTTCTTGAGGGTACCCGCTCTATCCCCACTGCAATGTCCTCTACTGATTGCTACTTGCGACATCCCCAGCTTTTCTTGCTTAGATTCCCAAGCCTTTGTCGGTGATATTTTGTCAGCCTGTGCAGCTTATTTGTCGCACTTTCGATTCCATAGCCAATGGTAGATACCCTCTGGTGAACTAACATAGCAATGGAAAATCACCATTTTTCATGGGAAAATCCACTATAAATGGCCATTTTCCATTGCTATGTTAGTTCACCAGAGGGTACCCTGCAATACCCTGCAGCCAGCCAGTTTGAGCTGGTGAGCTCCATGTCTCCATGACCCAGGGATGTTTTTCGCCTGCAGCTCCAGAAGTAGCTGAGAGCTGGTAGACCTTGGGAAGCCCCAAATCCCATGGTTGGATTGATCATCCCACGAAAATGGCCATGGAGGTGCAGTATTTGGACAATCAACGATTTAACGGGTAAGTACCAATCAACGATTTCGTAACTGACAGAATCATTGGATTCGATAGGTCAATGATTGATGGTGAACTATCCTTTGACCATTCACCTGCTAAAGTGCTAAATTCATGGGTTAGTAGGATTACTTTGTCACTTCTCAATGGATTTTGGATGGGTCATCAAATGACCCACGAAGCCAGAAGTCCAACAACTACCGGTCAACAGACCAACCGAAACCCATCCACAAAGAAACGCTTGCCATGATAACTTCACAGAAACAAGTGCTTGATACCTACAAGGCCAATCTTGCATACCCTGCCAAGAACGTGTATGTTTTGGCTGGCTAGTACATATTGTACATGTATGTGCACATACAGCATATATATATATATTATACAGACATACATATACTCCCAAATCAAACCCGCCAAAAAAAACAAAGAATAAGAATGACCTGCTCAACCAGTCAGTTTAACCGAAGGGATTCCCCAACTTCAGCCCAGAGACCAACGACACTTGGTGATGCTGCTGCTGTAGCCCAGAAGGTCCTTGCGGCTGATGGAGATCTTTACCATGTGCTTCACAAAACAGTTCCGCCACCTGTACTGTGAACAACTCATCCTAACTGTGAAAATATTACCCTCTGGTAAACTAACATAGCTATTGAAAATGGCCATTTATAGTGGATTTACCCATGAAAAATGGTGATTTTCCATAGTTTTTTGTTAACGTTTACCAGAGGGTAAAAGAGTGTCATCAGTACCCAAAAGGTCCTGTGAACAAGTCATTCTAATTGTGTAAACATTTGCAATCCCAAGCCTTACAAGATATTTGAAGCCATTTCTCAGCTCGTGCTCATGCTTCCCCCACTCTTCCCCATCAATCATCATATCGTGAAATTGGGTGCTCAATTCCATCCCATTGTTGAGAAATGCATTTCTCTGTTTTCCGATGGCCATAAATTGGGGGTAAACCATGTAATTTCCTTATTTTTGAACAACCCCAGGGCCCCAGCTTCTTCGGTCGCGTCCTGTGCCAACTGCAAGGCCCTTGCCCAATGGTCCAGCAGCGAAATGCACAGGTTCCGCGAAGTGAAGTTGGGCGACAAACCTCCATGGGCTGATGCTGGTTTGGATTGATTGGGCATTCATCCCATCATCCCAGCACAATTGGGGATTTACAGCGGCTGCAGACCACGGCTTTCATGAGAATTGAAGCCACCTCACCGGTGTTAGGTAAAAAACATGTTTCAGATTGAGCCCCTAAACACATCCACACATCAGGCAACATGACAATTCAATGGATAAAACTGGCTTTGATTTCCAGTGGATGGAACTCTGTTCTTTCGAAACTTCAATCCGTCAATGGCCATTTTTGGTCTAAGGGCTAAGGGGATATATCCCCAAAATATGGCCACTGACTCTAACGTAGCTAAAACAATAAACCATCCTCCAGTCATCACCATTTTTTTGCTTGGTGGTATAAACTTACCATTCCCAGGAACATGGGTGGTAAACATGACATTGTTATACCCACATTAATCATCATTAGTCATCCATGAATCACCATTATTAACCAGTATTAACCAATATCAACCATTATTGACCAGTATTAACCAATATTAGGCAATTATTAACCATTATTAACCAATATTAACCATTATTAACCAATATTAGGCCACTATTAACCAACATTAACCATGGATATTTACCCACATGAAATGGCTTCTGTGCCTCGCTGTGGCATCTCCTCCAAACTTCGCAGCGCCAAGCGCCACGCTTCGGTGGCTTTCAACGCAGCATTCTGCGAGGCCACGTCGGAGCGCCTCGGTAAAAAAGGAACCACTTGGATCGGCTGGAGAAATCTGCAGAAAACGGCGGTTTCGAATTTCAAAGTAGTATATTAATATATATATATATATTAATAAATATTTGTAAAATACAAAATCTAATATTAATGAACCAATAATGTCCTTGTGGTAAAAAAATAGAGGGGCCGGGAGCTGGTTAATCCCATCTATCATCATAGAAACCTGTTGTTTTTCAGGGGTTTCTTCAATTTTCCCTCTATTAATCACGCAACCAATGGGAATTTTGGGAAATCTATGGTAGGAACCACTTCTCACCAAATTTTTGGGGAATCCAAGAAATCCATTGGATGATTTTCTACCATAGGCGTGAACCTGGTTTTGCTGAGGGGAAGTACATGTATTCCACAACCGATGGGGTCTCCTACATAGCGACTGAATGTAGAACCAGCGTTTCTTGTCTTACCTGGTTCTCAAGGAGAATGCAAGTTTTGCCATAGTTTTAGTAGCAAAGCTAACTATCAATAACAATTTTCATGGTGTTCTTTTCCCAGCCAGGCCAGATACTGTCAGATACTTTCTGTTTGGAAAATATCATACTGTATCATTTTTGATGGGAGAAAACATTGAATCCGTAATCCCAGTAGACCTTCTTGAGGTTTTCCCGTAGGTTTCACAGGAAACGTAATGAGGAAAAGCTGGCTTTTCAATCAATCAATGCATTGAATGCCTTGATTGTTGGCAAACATACTACATTTTTGATGCTTAAGCCCTGAATAATCACTGTAAAACGTGGGATGAAAAAAATCCCCAGTTGATGATAAAAAAATATAACCACTATTAGTGATGAATTCCCAGTTGCTGGGGACAATCAAAAAATGTTTTTTTTTAGTTTTTCTGATCAACCACATCTGCAAGTCTCTGGTCAAAATTTTCCCAATCACACCAGTGTTACGCCCAGATTAGTTACATATGGGAAAACCCAGCCACAAGTTCCATCTGTTCATCTGGGCCAAGAGTTTCTGCGCCAACGGCCAAGCAGAGAAGAGGCTGCTGAAAGTGATGACCTGTTTCGGCAAAGCTGCCATGCCAACAAATGCTGGTGGATTGGATAAGAGTTCCCATGATTTTTCAGAGATGTTCAAAATAAACCAGGTATAATACATTATATACATTTATATACCATGATTATTTTATAACCATGTTATTAGGGGTATGTTCCCCAGGTATAATCACCATGTTCCCCATGAGTATAATACATTATAATAGCCCTAAAGAGAAATCGAACCGTTGGACACCTGGATTTTTTCTCGGGGATTCTGAAAACATCGAACTACCATCCTGAAAACACCACTTTCTGATTCTTTTTGTGGCTTGCGAAAAAATGTAGCACAAGGCCTGAACATCACCAATGGGGCCAGTAGTCTGCAGGATGTCAACTTGCTAAACCTTGGACAGCTGATACAGATCGAACCATACATTACAATCATTACAATACCATATCTACCAACATGGTGGTTTCCATAAATGGGGAATCCCCAATAGCTGGATGGCTTATTTCATGGAAATTCCTATACACATGGATGATTTAGGGGTACTTTCTGGTTATTTAACATGGCCATGGGAGCCATGGCCCATTTATTTCGATGGTTTACCTATGAAAAAATGGGTGGATCTTTCCATGGCAAACTGTTAGTCATAACCAGAGGGTATCCCAATAAAATCCCATGAAATCATCATTAAATCAATGGCTAAATCCACTTTTTCAATAATTTGGTTGATGATTTAGGGGTACCTTATTTTTAGGAAACCTCCATATCCCTACCAGTTGATCTATCCATCAGCCAGCACCCCACTACGATATGGGCCGAGTGGCATTTGGCCGGATCGATCGCCTGAGGTGGTCGATAGTCAAAGTCTGTGCTATTTATATCGATTTCCATTACCCCCTGGTAAACATACAAAAAACCGATGGGAAATACGGTGATTTATTGGAAACATATGGGAAAATATGGTGATTTTTTGGAAACATATGGGAAATATGGTGATTTATGGGAGATACACTCTGGTAAACATACAAACAACTGATGGGAAAATCACCATGCTATTAATGGGTAAATCCACGAACTAAATGGCAATTTTCAATAGCTTTTTGTTTGTTTACCAGAGGGTATTTGCTGGTTATCCATACATATCCCATTTCTCCGTCTCATCACTGATGGTTAAACCCCTCACACAACACATGGTACATGGGGCATTGTCATCCGACTGTCATTAAGGATTCCTTGTAACCACCTAATAATCTGGGATGACCTAGCCCGATTGATATGGAAATGACAATCCAACTTCATACTGAGCTGGTTGTATATCTCCATTATATCCCTATGAATAATGCATGAAATCCCCATTTATTGAGGAGTAAATCCAACTTTGATGGTGCCAACACGTATCCCTAATTTTCATGGCTTATCATCATGATCCATATTTAAAAACGGTTATTTCAGGGGGATTACGTAGATTACATTCCCATTTTCAACAACAGTGGCGCCAAGTGGCCCTCGCATATCTCCAAAGACCATCTGCAGCGACCTTGGCCAAACGCCTGCAGTCGCGCCTGCGGCAGCAGTCCATGTCACGGCGTTGCCTCAGAAAAAAGTTGCGGCGGGGTCATACAGGGAAACCCTGGGAAAAATCATCCATAGTTTAGGGTCTAATTTATACCCCCAAAAGATGACCTGGGGTTGGGTGTCCCCATTTTGTAGAGCCAAATCTGGCTTTTGGAGGCTTTTGGGGGGATTCTAATTTACTGAAATCTCGTAGATAAACAAGGGAAGTACCTGGAAATAGGCAATAGATGCCAATAGATTGGATGGGGTTAGATTCGATGGACACTTCTATAGTTTTTATTCCAGAGTTGTTGCATTTTTTCCTTCCCGTCCCGTTGATGATCATCGTCTGAAATAGGGAACAAATGAGAAACATCACCCATCAATATACAATAATAAATATATTGGCAATCCCAAAATAATAACTATATACAAATAACATGAAATAACTATTGGATATAGTATAATCAATGGGATATAATATATATTATATAATAATCTATTGGATGGGGATAATCTATTTCAAAAATTGGGATAATCCATTACAATAGTATATGGGCAATCCCCATTTTTCTCTTTCAATGGACTCCGAAAAACGACATGGTGAATCCCCCATGATCTCGCCACGTGCCTTCGAGCGTTCTGGCACTGAGAGCGGACAAAAACTCCACGGCTTGTAGCCACTTCAAGCTTCGACGTTGCGCCTCGCTTTGCGAAGCAATTTGGCAGTGCAATATTTGTGATGCAATTCTAATTTGGTAAACCCAATGCTTGAACCCAGGTTATATATATATATATATGGCTTTGAATTTTGGAATGACCCATTTCTAGAAAGTCATTGTGTAAAATTGGGAATGGCTTCTGGTTTTTGGTTCACATTGCGACCAAATCCTGCTGCAGTTCTGCTTGTTCTGGTCCTCTGCGCTGGATCTCCCAGCATTTTTGCTAATCTTCGACTTACATCACTCACTGGTTGGTGGTTTCAACCCCTTCCCAAAATTATGAGTCAATTTGGAGAATCGAAAAAAGGTTGGAAAATAACACATGTTCGATAGCACCAACCAACTCAAATCTTCAAACTCCCAGCATCCTTTGGGTTTGTCCATATGGTACTTCAAATTTGGTGCTTCACCATCATTTTCCCTATTAAAGTAGCCATTTTCAGCTACCCCCTATTTTCAGACAAGACTTTGTTTCATTTCTCAGCTTCACGCTGCGATGGCATTGGTGTAGACCACGACTCCGCAGCGTTGGTCGACCTCCAGATCGCTGGGATTTACGGATGGTTATCCCCCGCCAAATATGCGATACCCGGATACCCCCCCCAATTTATAGCCATGGAAAATGGGAAAATGATGAGCCAGCAAATTCTTCAGCACCTCATTTTATGACAAAGCCATATGGAATCATAGGTTTACCCAGCTTTGGACTACGAAAGCAAAGCATCTGTTCAACTCTTTTGGAAAAAATGCACTCACACATGGCCATTGGGGAATGATTTTCTCATGGACACATAGAGGAACACCATCAAAGAAGAATGGCTGAGGATTACCAGAGGGCCATCCTTGCCTGCTTCAGTGCCAAGCACCAGTCGGGGACGCTGAAGTTTGACTGCCATGGCATGAGATCGCTGCTGAAGATAGCTTCAAGTTGAACCTTGGCATAGCATATTTCTATAGATAGATACTGGCTGGCAGTTTCAAACCCTCTGAAAAACACTCATCAATGGATCCTTGAAATAAACTGGGCAAAACCAGAAATCAGGATGGTATGGATTTGTTGGACCCCACACCAGTCATGTCATTTCAGCATCTGGAGAAAAGAAGATCGTTCCCCAGCAGTGGTTCTCGGCGATGGACGCAGGATCAGAGAAATCAGCGGGGCATAAGGGTGCTACTCTAGACCAAAGAATACCCTACCAGTGAATACATACATGACACTCCTCCTTGCTCCAAAAAAAAACCAAACAAGTATGGTAAAAGTATTAGATGGGAGTTTTTTTTTGGGCTTCATACATATTGCTCTGGTTGGTGGTTTCAACCCTCTGAAACATAGTCAGTTGGGATTATTATTCCCAATATATTGAAAGATAAGACATGTTCCAAGCCACCAGCCTGTGCTATATTTTAAAACATCTAAGTTGATCTCATTTTGTTTTCTCCATCTGGTGGCACTCCATCTGGTGGGCTCACTGCTCTCTCGACAGGACTAGTTGGGTCAACCCTGGAGACTCACCGTTTTTTGAGCCAGTCTAGCTATGGCACTGAAGAAAAAAAACCAATGTTCATGGTAACAATCTAACAATTATCATTATATCATATAATATCATTATGAAAATTCCTGAAAAAATGGATTAGATGAACCGTCTGTGTTTCACATTGTGAAACCATCCGCTTCTTTAAAAATGTTGTCCGTGATCCAGTCGACCCCTTGAATTACACTGTTTCGTTCAGCGGGGGTGGCACCAGCAGCAATGCGAGGGCAAAAACGCGGGCCATCTCCTGCCGTGAACCCCCATCCACAGATAACCACCCCAATACATGGCCAATGGATTGAATCACCGCGATTACCATCTGATTATGACTAACAGTTTGCCATGGAAAGATCCACCTATTTTTAATAGGTGAAGCATCGAACTAAATGGGCCATGGCTTCCATGGCAAACTGTTAAATAACTAGAGGGTACATGATATTGAATGGTGTAATAGCCATCTGTGGCGGTCGCTGTACTTTTGCTGCTTTCGTTCTGGATGGCTCACTGGACTTCTTGCTGTCTCTGTCGCTGACGGTTACCACCCTGTGGTTCACTGTCTTCAAACCAAGCATGAATCACAATAAGAATATAGTAGCATTAGTACTATAATAGTGAATATATATATAAGAATCATCTTCTTCAGAATGGTCTGACTTAGTAGCATTAGTACTCAGCAGTATCAAAGTAGAATGACGCATGCACCCCTTGTAGACGGACAGGCCATGATTTGGACAAACAACCCACCAACACGGGTACCCTCTGGTAAACTAACATAACTATTGAACATCGCCATTTTGAATGGGAAAACTCACTATAAATGGCCATGTTCAATAGCTTTTGTATGTTTACCGGTATATCTTCAGTTCCAATCGAAGATCTCCAACCAACACGACATCGACCAGTGCCATCCCCTACGGTTTTAATGTGCCAACACCGGTGACCGGCTGAAGTCCTGAGATGTCCCAACGAAAAACCACCCAAAAAAAGATGCGCCTTTTCATGATGAATTTCCACATGATGGTCCCATTCTTACCCAAGATTTCTGATGGTTCAACCCAGCCAGCCTCGATGATACTGATGTCAACGGGCAATGCGTTAAAGCTCGAGCCAACATCAAACAGGTCACAACTGAAGGAGCGGTAACGCCTCACAAAATGTGGCAAAACACAGCCTAGTCCTGATGGCTTCATTATCTCAGAAACTCTAAGAATTATAGTTCACCAACTTGAACTATTGGTGATTTTGGGGAGTTCCCCAATGACCAAAATATACCAAAATCATCATTTTTGGTGAGGCAGGTATGATTCGAATTGGTCGAAGATCCTCTTTGGTGGCATGCAAAATCATTTTGCTAAGTGGGGGGCTTCAACCAATTTTTCGCGTTCTTAAAGTCATCCATATTTAAATCCACCTGGTCGTAACACCAGTATGCTAGGGTTGCAGTTCCACTCAATGGCTGTTTAGATTTAGACTTCACCGATAAATCATCATGGTAAAGAACTAGTGGCATCCATTCATAATTTAGCATCTATTATCCACGATATCCCTAGACACAACGCCGATATTGGCGGCTACACTCCATTGAAACTAAAGTTCCTGCTTACCACCATCCGTCTGGATAATCTAGGTGAATTCTGCAACTGGATTAAAAAAACATAATTCCTGCTGGGATTATGGGATATAATGAATGATATAATTTTGGGCTCCCCATTCGTCATGGTCAAACTCACATGCGCACCCTTGCACCTCAGTCAAACCTCTGCTTCTGCCAACTGGTCAAATCACTTTTTGTATCCATTATTTATGGGGCTACTCCAAAACCATTGGCTTTTTCCATTCAAAAACAATCCAAATTTGGATGATTTTCAGGTCCCCAATGGCGACCGAGGCCCCCCGCGCCGCTTCCCCGAGCGCGACCGTGAGGAGCGATCGTCGCGGCGACGCTCCTCGCGGCGGTCGTCGCGACCGTCGCGACGGTCACGGCTCCTGGCGGTCCAAGTGCAACACTGTTATTGGTGCCATAACTTTCTTTTAACCATATGGTACAGAATATATTTTGTTTTTTTAGGGTTGACATTGTGGGGATCAATGTGGTAAAACCAGCAATCAACCATCCCAATCAACCTAACTTTATCAGTTGGCGGGTATTTTAAACCAAGCCAAAATACGGGGGTTATGGCTTTGGGCTTAAGACATTGTGACTAATTTACATTTGGACTTTAATCGTCAAAATTTGATTCACGAATCGAGAATCGAAAATTGCCATGGTCCCGTCGAATGCACGAATCTGATTTTGCATGTTGTTGGTGGTTTCAACGCATCTTAAACATGTTGAACCCCTAAAGAAACATCATCATTCCGTTTTAGGATGGAAAATGAAGCGCACTTACCACTGACCAACCAGTCATTGTCTGATCCTTGTCTCTCCAGGCGCCAGGAATCGGACGTGGAACATGCGATAACATCACTCCATTAAAACCTCCCCGTGATATGGAACAAACAGCGTGAAGTATCATGGTGATACACAAACTATAGTGATCATGTCCTATTCGTCTCTGTGAAACCTATGAAACGTTTCTGCTTCGTTCTATCACTTTCTCACTTTCGTTTCTGCTTTCATTTTATCTATCCCGTAGAACATCTGTGCCACGGTCAAAAGATGGTATGTGGTATAGTCATCCATCCCAGAATGGGAATCTTATAACGGTTTTAGAATTGGTATGTAGATCCCTAATGGATTGATGACCATCCCCTCTTCATAGTTCCATATAAAACTGTTTGGACTATATCCCATTGTGTTTCCAGCATCATTAAATCACCATTTTTATTACTACCCTCTGGTAAATTAACATAGACCCTGGCAGATAGGGGTTGGAAGACTAGTTTCCATTAAAAATTGGTGATTTTCAGGGTCTATGTTTATTTACCAGAGGGTAAAAAACCAACCTTTTGACCATGGCACAGCAATACAAGGCCTCCGTGTCTTTTTGCGGCTATCGCGTGACCTGGCGAAGACGGTGAAGAAGTGGGGTTTTCTGGAAAAAATTGAGGTAAACCTCTACATAGATATGGAGAACAACCATAATTTCAATAGGACATGTTCAATGGATATCAATGGTACATTCTCCATATCCATGTTGTTTTTGGTAGGGTAAGGAACACAGTTGACCAACAAACAAGGTGATGTGATAAGCATGAGAATAAATGGTAAACGAATAGGTTTCGTTTCCTTAGATGCAGCTGCCGATCATCAGGCAACCATTTCCTGCGGGTGCCAGGCACCCCTCTTCCTAGTGATCTCAAACAAGAGATGAAGAAATTGCATGGGCAGAGCATTGATAAGACTCAATCTTACCCTCCGGTAATAATCAAACGTGGCAATGGAACATGTCCATTTAAAGATGATTTTCCCATTAAAACCACCCTTTATAGGAAATTTGCCATTGCCACGTTTGATGACACCGGAGGGTGCTGCTTTAGATGCCACATTGCTGGGAAACTGTGCTCATGATCGCTGCCTCTTGTTCACCTGGAAGGGAACAATGCTCTTGATGCAAATGCGTGTTTACATTGTACCGGTATCCAAGCAAAGGCACACGTAGTAGAAATTACTGTTGGCAATGTCTCCTGACGGGTCAAGACGTACCGGATTGTCACCTGGTTCTGCTTCGTCTCAAGCTCGTCGTCTCTTCCGGTTCAAGCACGCTGCCAGAAGCCAATTTCACCGTGGCATAAAAAGGCTCATCTTGGGCAGCAGAAATCAGGCCAGTCTTCGACATCCTGCACAAAACTCCATTTTGAAGCTGATTAGATATGGGTTTGTCTGGAAATGGGCTGGCTACCAGCATTAATATGGTGATTTCGGAAAATTATGTTTCACACCCTTGGATTTTCCCCTATGGCATTGAAATAGGAAACTTATGATCAAGTAATGACAGTAAAACAATAATAAACCACCCGTATTTTGATGGTTGATATAAACCCATTTATGCTAAACTTGCGGATGGTGGATCCTATTGATTTACTAGGCTATACTATACCCATCTATCCCATTATTGTCAAACAAATCAGCATGCCCATTTCTGCCCAAAAAATCGACACCAGCGGCACCTGGATCGCTGTGGGCTACCACCCGGCCTGTGCAGCGTCTGGTAGGCTTTGGTTCAAAACTTGGAACCCCAATCCTGCCTTGAATGAAAATACACATTTTGGCTTATCTACAAATGAAAACATGGAACAACAAGATGGCCAATCTTAAAAACTGAGCATGAACAACTTCATTGCCAACTAATTGGTGGTTTCAACCCCTTGAAACATATTAGTCAGATTGGATCATCATCCCAACTATTGGGGAAAGAAAACATGTTCCAAACCACCAACCAGCTATTTTCGATGATTTTCCACTTTTGGTCGGTTATATCCCCAATTGGTGTAGCTTGGTTTACCTGTCTTGGTTACAGCTTTATCATGCTTCAGCCGTTGAACTTCCCCACTTTCTTCGCCTTCCGCGTGGTGGGCTCAACCTTGGAGTGCTGGACATTTCTGACTGGGTAGGATATCCCGATCGGATCATCCCATTGCTATCATCATTTTGGCTTCAATCCCCATTTTTGCCGCTTCAATCATCATTTTTGTCGCCTACCCTCTGGTAAACGTTAACAAAAAACTATGGAAAGATCCACCATTTTTCATGGGAAAATCCACGAACTAAATGGTCATTTTCAGTAGCTATTTTGACATAACCAGAGGGTATCTCATCATTTTTGTTGGCGACAACTCCGGCAACTCGCCATTTTGCTCGGTCAACTCGGGATACCGGACTCAGGTCCTCGAGGAGGACCTTTGCCTTTGCCCTTGCCTGGCGATCGTTGGTTAACAATCAATGACTAGATAGGACTTATGACAGTCATAATAGTATATCTATAGTATACTATCGAAAGTACAGCATCTATACGTATATCTATCCATCATGATGACTATCATAATTTTATGATGGATAGATCTATAGTTAGGGCGAACGTGCTATGCCTCGTTTCGTCTTTCGGGATGATCGCCAGAAATCATTTTTTGGTGACCTTGCAGTACTTTGTGGCCTTCTAGTGTTTGGCGATGTGATAACTTGATGTCCCTGGGTTTGTGAACCCAGAGACCTCGTTGATGACCCCCTGCGTTGAATCTGCTGTAACCCAATTTTTTTTGGTCACTTTTTACATCTTTTTACATAAAACCTAAAACCCATAGAGAACCCCATATCAACCCTAAAGAAACCCTACATAAACCCAAATAAAACCCTATGAAAGTGTATATAGTGAAGTACCTGTAGGGCGTAGAGCACGTGCCGCGGGTATAGTTGGATGGGGTTAAAAACCAACTTAAAACTAGGGGGCCTCACCTTGTACCCAAACTCAAAATTTCACCAACAAGACTGGAGGTTTTAACCATTTAAACCCAAAGGAAAAATGGCTCTGCATGCTCATCATTTGGCTGGTGGAAGTTCCTTTCGGCGGAGGCCCTCGTGGGGTGCACTGCCATGCCCCACTCATCCGGGCAGTAGACAATTTTGTGGTGCTTGTGGACCATCTTGGCCAAGGACGAAAAGTTGATTCGCCTCCATGATGTCCACTTCATCCTGCCCAACCTGTTCACCATCACAGTGGATGGCAGAATCCGAGATGAAGGAGGCCCCAAAACAAGCAACCCAAGCAAGGATTATTAAGGCTTGGCCAATATGGGGATTACATAGTAATTACACATAGGATACAAAACCAATTGTGATACAAAGAGGGATCCCCCTAGTTATAAGTTGGTGAACGTTCACCCAGCCAACTAGGTTTACGACCATTTCGCGGCCGTGGTAAAAATGTCCATGATGTGAATAGAAAATAAGCACGCCGCTAAAGCGAACAATGATTTTGCACATCCAGCATGTGAAAATGCATCATCGTCGTTTCAGAAAACTACTTGTTTTGTTTGCACTGTCATCATCATAATGAACATCATCATCATGATCATCATCACATCATCACATCATCATCATCATCATCACCATCATTATCATCATCACCATCATCATCATGATCATCATCATGATCATCATCATGATCATCATCACATCATCATCATCATCATCATCATCACCATCATCATCATCACCATCATCATCATCATCACATCATCACATCATCACATCATCATCATCATCACCATCATCATCATCATCATCATCACAGCATCATCATCTTCAGCATCATCACTAGCATTTTTAGGATCATATAGATCGTCAGCAGCTGCAGCGTCAGTTTCTTCCTTCAGCTGCGTCCACGCTCCGCGAACACACGCGACAGTTCTTGCAAGAACTTAGCACTAGAGACTGATCCGATGGACCTGCGCCATTGGAACTGTAAAACAAGAAGAGACAACATGCCCCACCCCACCCCAACCCTTCCGTTGCGTAGCATCCAACATGTGTGCAACGTGCAAGGAACGTTAACATGCCCCACCCCAGCCCAACCCTTCAGTTGCGTAGCATGCAACATGTGTGCAACGTGCAAGGAACGTTAACATGCCCCACCCCACCCCAACCCTTCAGTTGCGTAGCATGCAACATGTGTGCAACGTGCAAGGAACGTTAACATGCCCCACCCCACCCCACCCTTCAGTTGCGTAGCATCAACATGTGTGCAACGTGCAAGGAACGTTAGCGCGTAGCATCCACATGTGTGCAACGTGCACGTTAATGCCCCACCCCACCCCAACCCTTCCGTTGCGTAGCATCCAACATGTGTGCAACGTGCAAGGAACGTTAACATGCCCCACCCCAGCCCAACCCTTCAGTTGCGTAGCATGCAACATGTGTGCAACGTGCAAGGAACGTTAACATGCCCCACCCCACCCCAACCCTTCAGTTGCGTAGCATGCAACATGTGTGCAACGTGCAAGGAACGTTAACATGCCCCACCCCACCCCACCCTAACCTTTCAAATACGTTCAAAACGCAAAAAAAGCCACTTCGTGCCACGGCCGTGCAGCGGTCGGTGTCCAACTACTGCCCAAAATCGTAGTTAGTTCTAAACCAGCTCACCTGTCGTTTAGCGGCCACTTCCTGGGTTTGACGGACACCGACACCAACAGTCTTTTCATAGGATTGAATGGGCATTTGTGCATAACACCCCATATTTGGTGGTCGTTTCAAGTCTTTCTTCGAACGCGCTTTATGAACCAGCATGGAGTATTTTTAAGTATGTTTAAATGTTTTTTTTGAATAAGGAGCACCACACAGGTAGATGTGTTGATGGGCTTTTCAGATCTTTCAACTACCATTCTCCCTGCAAATTTGCTCATCCATGCTCATCCATAGTTGGTATGATCCGCTCGTTGGTGGTGCCAACCCTATGGAAGAATTCGTAGGCAGTGTTGACTATGATTTCTTTTCAACTAAGCAATGAACATAAGACATCTTCCATACCTTCTGGGAGGAACCATGAAACATATAGTCATATAGTGGCCCCAAAGAGATGCACAAAAGATTCAAATTATCAGTATTTTCAGCAGGATTTTACACGACATGTCTATCTTTCCGGTAATTTCAGTGGTAAATTTAACCAGGTTGCCAAGTCTATCTTTACCAAATTCCATCTGTTTGTACTTTACCACTACTTTTTGGAGGCTGCCATATTCAAACCCATCCCCCCCATGGTGTGTCTCTGAAAGGTGCCACCTCCTTTGGGAACAAACGTGCCGTCCTGGCGTTGAAGGGATGGATGTGAAACAACCAAACCTGGGCAATGAACCAGGATATCTGGTTGGTGGTTTCATCCCTCTGAAAAATATGAAAGTCAGTTGGGATGATTATTCCCTATGGAAAAATAATCCAAATGTTCCAAACCACCAACCAGATATAATCAATAGGGATTCATGGCAGAAAATACTCTCCGGTTATTGAACATAGCTGTGGAACATGGTCCGTTCATAGATGGTAATTGCTAGAGGATAATCACCAAAATCCCACGAGTTAAAACCGAATTACCCCATTGACGCCAGCCAGCTCCCATTTTGGCCCTCATATCCATCATTATCCATTTTCCATGGCTTAATTTCCCTATATTTGATGGCTAAATCCCAATCATTGTCCATTTTAGCTGCATCGCATACTCTACTGCCTATCAGTTGCCACCTGTTGAACACCTGCAACATTGAAATGAATGGCTCAAAATGCCGAGAGGTGTATCTTCGGCATAACCACACCACTTCTTTTGGGTGAAGTTGCCACGCGGAAAAACACCAAACAAAACTCACCCATAAGTGGGTCCCTCAGTGCGAATTCCCGTTATGGAAAATCATCTGCAAATGAATCAACACATCGTTTTCCACAGCCTAAGTAGCAAAGAGTATGTCCCGTGCTGACCCAACATTACATACTCATGGACTTTGTTCTTTTATCTCAATGCAATCACCATGGAATAATCCCCATAAAATCTATATCAATCTCTTAGATTCTCTTAGCCAATCCTACCCTCGACAAAGATATTTCTTGGCTGGTTGGATCAATACATCAAAATTGCAAACGCTCAGCCATTGTTAAAACTAGCCTTCACCAGTTGGTCTGGCAAGTTATCTGCACTTTTTGTTTTGTCAGCTACAAACCCATAGAACACTATGGTTCACCAGGGTTTAGCCATGACCTTTAAGTTATATCATCCATTTTCGATGATTACTTTCCCAATTTTCCAGTCGGCTCACCTAAAACTTCTGGCTGAATTGAAGCAATTCATGATCCTGAAAGCAATGTTTTGATAAATTCACCCCTATCCTACCCATCATTTGACATTGTGACGTGGTGGTGCAGTCGTAGTTATAATTCAGTTGTGCATAGTGTATATATCTTGTCACATCACATCATATGGTATCATATCATATCACATCATGTCATTATCAAGTTGGTTATAAATTCCATCAGATCACCCCCAAAAACATAATATGATCATATTTACCTATATCCCATCATATCCCATGACGGTTATAGATCCCATCATATCCCTCAAATATCACCATTTTGGTGGATTACATCCGTTATTCTGGTTCTTTTTCCCAATGAATTACTACCATTCATCCCCACTGTGGGTAAAACAATGCCATGTTTACCATCCCCCAGTCATCACCATTTTTAAAGGTGGTAGGGTAGTTTTACCATTCCCAGGAAAATGGGTGGTTCCTGTTGGGAGTTCGGGTCTCCTCCATCTCACGCAACTTCACGGACAGCAAACCCGGAGGGCTTCGAGCCTTTTTTGGAGTGAGATGGCAGAAACGAGGGAAGTTATGAGATGTAAATGGATGTAAACTGGCTGTAAAATAGGAATCTAATGGGTATAGGATATGTGCTTCATGGATATATGATAGAATATGAATATACTACCCATAATCACCTATATAATCCTATATATGGAAATCAAAGGGTCATGCATCCTCGAACCGTTGAACGCTTCGAGCAACGGAGTGGGATTTAACTGGCAACACATCGAACTTACCCTATTCAAGGGGATATTAATAATATTAATATTACAACGGTTTGGTTCATACTTGGGGGAATCAATTACACATGCTTGGGAAAAACTTAATTCCATCATATATATATGTGTTTGTCCAGAAATGAGATTTGCTCATAATTTTGGATAATTTTCCAACTTTTAGGACATGGGAAAGGCCCCACTTCTGCTTTCCTCGCGAATGGGTGTGCGGTAGCCTATTTTCAGGCAAACCCGATTTTCAACTGCCTCGTAGAATAGCAATGTTCTAAAAAAAGGAAAGACATTTGACGGGCAGAATGTAACATCATTATATCATTCATATACTCAGAATGCTTGTGAAAGACAAACAACGAAGGGTACGCTGCTACACTCAACCATGATCAACCAACTAGTGGGGAAAGAAGACATCTATCATTCATGAATACCGGTACCATCAAGGATAATGACTTTGATATTTGGTTGCCCAACCAGCAAGTCAGCTGAAGCATTGCAAATGGGATAGGTTGCTTCCCGTATCCTCAGGGCGATTAAATGTATCTTTGCACTGGGCATTGGGTATTGCTCGCATACCTGCTGGCTTGTAGACTAATCCAAAACATGTAGTTGCTATCATTAGATCCCAAAATGGCAAAAATGATGGCCCAAATTAGCGAAAGGATGCCAGCTTTGAAACAAAAAAAGGCTGCTTGCTGATTTGAACAAGGCACACCATGGTGTCTCTCTTTGCGGATCAGCTCAATGGATGCAGTGGCTGCCGTGGCGATCACCATCCGTGGCTGCGCAACCAATGGGGCCGGTCGAATGAAAGAACCTTCGGGTTCTGCAGCATCTCTGTATTCGCCACGGCAAAAACTTGCATTGAATTCCAGAAGGTGGGACGTTGCCTGCGAATTCCGCAGGCTGTTTGCAACCATTGGCCAGTAGCCATATCAACCAATTTTCCTGGGATCCTTGCTTTTGCAGCGTATCTGGGGAAACACCATATTCATCCATATCATGGTCCATATCCATCCATCTCTGGCTTGAATACACATTTACATACATTTACTGCGACATTTGATTTGTTCTTCTCATCTTCTTGGCTCAATCTCTATTTCCGATGAAATCCGGTAGATGAAGGCTACAGCATTGCATGGGTTGGTTCGACCTGAACCTCCGCCGAGGTTTCCTAAAATATGGCTACGCCCACATCAGCAATTTTCATAGGCTTTTTCATTTTTGAAGCGTCCAGCTATTGGGGTACCCCCATTCGAAAAGCCGCCATCGTGCTGGGCCCTCTGGCCGTTTCCAACGTCTCGCCCAGGCTTTTGATGTCCTGGTGCGGAGGACATGGGCTACTGGAACGAGACCCCAAAATGATTTATAGTGGATTTATAGTGGAGTTACCCATTGAAAATGATGATTTAATGGGATTTTAATGGGATTTACCATATGAGATTCCAGAAACCCATAACATTTTAACCCAAACTGGCCATAGATACTACGGTGAACTCCGAAATATTCCAATAACCCATCCTATCAGAACATGATAACCGATGAGATTTTTGGGTATCATATTTTTCTTGACAAATCCAAGTGGGGCAAGGGACTCACAGATGAATTTGGATATAGCCGTTTCGGAGATCAGTTTTGGGATCGATTTGAATCGCCATACTTCAGCAACAGATTCGGATTGACCAACATTTTTTTTGTACCACGAGCCACAAGAGACAGCGGAAAACCGGCTGTCTCAATGCACAAAAAAACCGTTTCCAGGTGGACCCGACCTCTCGGAAGGTGTCTTGACGCGACCTCAGAGCTTTGGGCGGGCACCAAGTGATGCTAATGGCGCCCAGTGATGAAATCATGGTTTACCCCAAAAGGTGATGCTAATCGCAGCCAAAAGGAATGACAAACCCTTCAAAATCTTCAAACATGGTATGAACTGTGGAATATACATTGGAATAGACAAATCAAATCGAACAAAAGCACCTAACTGCGGAAACATACCGCAGTCACGCATTAATCTAGCCTTATTCAACAAAATATTGACTGGTTGATCAACCAACACATAACTATAAGTCGATTTTTACGCAACATCCAGAAAATAACCATGAGCAATTATGATTTACAGGACCCTTAGATAATCATCAGTCTAATTGGTTACAGCTAACATTCTTACTAATTGGGGGTTTCCTGAAACGGGATTACCCCCAAATCATCCATTTATAGATGGATTTTCCGTGAAATATTGAGGTATTGGGTACCCCATGGAAACCTCCGTTTAAACCATGAAAACCATGGTGCCCCAATCTATAATGGAACTATTCATCATCCATTAAACCTGATTATATCCATTAATCATCCATTAATCATCCATTAAACATCCATTAATCATCCAGTAAACTATCTATGATGGAACCATTAAACCATCCATTTATGGAAACCTCCACTTCATCAGCCGTGGCCGTGGGTCCCCGGGCTCCATTCGCTCCATGACCCGTCGCTCCAAGCGATCGTCGATGTTGAACCTGACTGACACATCCCCGGGGAAACGTGCAATCCTTTTTGGGATGGAGATGGATGGGGCGCATTGTTCATTTGGTTCTAAGCAAGAAAACCTGGGGAACTCTGATATATTCAAATGATTTCAAATGAATTAGCATATATTGTTTGGATCTGTTTGGCAGGGTTTGGCGTTCAGAACGCACGGTTGCTAGTCTGTTACTGCGTTGGTTCCTTGTGCTGCATTGGATCCTTTTTGCACAAGGCCAACACAAGGTAGAGTGCGGCATTGATTCCTTTTTTTGCTGACTTGGTTCATTTCACTGTAATAATATATTTGCGAATATGTGTTATAGGTATTTTCTTGTTCGGGTTGCAAGTCTTATTACTAGGCATGGTTTTGATAATTATGGCGGACCCTTTCTCCAAAGTGCGAAGAAAGGCGCCAGGTGCTTAGCACAGCAACAAACGAAGGCACCAGCGCGGTTGGAAGACGGCTTGCCACCACCTGCATCACCTCCTGGCCCCGATTGCACCAACGCCATTGATCCGTTGGAGGATTGGAAGGCCCGATGGACAGCTGGGTCCCTATGACCTGGGCTGCGACAATGGTTGAGGGATGTGGTTGTTTGGCCATGGCCATCGTCGCCTTGGCGGACCTGTCAGCAAAAGGCCAGACGCAGTTTATGGTCCTTGCTCTAATGGGGATTTCACCTACAAGAATGGTGGTGACAATAGTATATATCTTACAGAGGTTGTGGGGATTATATATCCAGTAGCTGCGAGGAGCTATGGTTCTATCCATATTCCCGATAAAAACTGGGGGACCAAGGAGCTAAATAATTGAGTTTCCCAACCGCATGATAGAATATGGGGGTATAGACTGTTTAGTTCCTTCCAACATGTTTCTGGCTCAACCTTGAGTAATTTTTGACTTCGTTGGCCATAAATGAGAAATGGCCAGTTGCTCACATCCAAATAGAATGCATTGTGGTACCTTTTCTGGATAAACCTTGGTATTTTATGTCTGGAATGTTTGTTTGTCATTGGATTTTTAAACAGAACCTGCTGGTATGCTTTTGGCGGCTGTTGGACTGACCATGATAACATGCGCCATTGTACAAGAGACATTTTGCCATCCAAGACTCTGACAGGACAATGTAAAGCCTACCATTATGGCCCTTACCAGGTATAAGTCAGTTAGAACCCCATTCATGGAATGATAGCCCCATGTATGACCATTTATACCTGGTAAAGGTCCATGGTTTTTTACCTCAAGCTCACTCGCCTCCTCAAAACGATTTTTTTGGGTGCATCTCGTATGATGGGTGCATGCATTATTAACCACTAATAACACGTATTAATTAACCATTAATTAACCATTATTACCTATTAATACCCATTATTAACCATTAATAACAAGTATTAACCATCAATTAACCATTATTAACCATTATTAACCATTAATAACTAGTATTAACCATTATTAACCATTAATAACCATTATTAGCCATTATTAACCATTAATTAACCATTATTAACCATTGATAAGAAGTATTAACCATTATTAACCATTAACTACCATTATTAACCATTAATAACAAGTATTAACCATTAACTAACCAGCATAAACCATTAATAACCACAAATAAGCATGATTAACCATTACTAACCATTAATAACAAATATTACGAATTAATTACCCATTATTAACCATTAATAACACGTATTAACCATTAATAAACATTAATTAACGACTATTAACCATTATTAACCATTAATGAACCATTATTAACCATTATTAACCATTAGTGAATCATTATTAACCATTAATAGCAAGTATTAACCATTAATTAACCATTAATTAACCATTATTCACCATTATGAACCATTAATCAACCACTATTAACCATTAATAACAAGTATTAACCATTAATAACCTTTATTAAACATCAATAGCAAGTTTTAACCATTAATTAACCATTATTAAACATTGATAACATGTATTAACCAGTTTTTAACCATTATTAACGATTAATTAGCCATTATTGACCGTTAATAACAAGTGTTAACAATTATTAAGCATTAACTAACCATTAGTAACCATTAAGTAAACATTACTAACCATTAATAACAAGTATTAGCCATCAATTATCCATTATTAACCATTAATTAACCATTATTAACCATTAATTAACCATTATTAACCATTAATTAACCATTATTAACCATTAATAACACGTATTAACCATTAATTACCCATTATTAATCATTAATGACACGTATTTTTCATTAATTGACAATTCGTCACCATTAATTAACCATTATTAACCATTAATTAACCATTATTAACCATTAAGAACCATTATTTACCATTAATTAGCCATTATCAACCATTAATTAACCTTTATTAACCATTAATAACAAGTATTAACCATTAATTAAACATTATTAACCATTAATAAACCGTTATTAACCATTAACTCACAATTATTAACCATTAATAACCATGAATAACCATTAAGTCACAATTATTAACCATTAATAACCGTTATTAACCATTACTAAGTATATTAACCATTAATATCCATTATTATCCATTAATAACAAGTGTTACCCATCAATTCATCATCATTAACCATTAATGACCCATTATTAACCATTGATAACCATTCTTAAACATTAATTAACCATTAATAGCAAGTATTAACCATTAATAAGCATTATTAACCATTAATTAACCATTATCGGCCATTAATTAACCATTATTAACCATTAATAACAAGTATTGACAATTAATTAACAATTATTAACCATTAAAAACAAGTATTAACCATTATATAATAACCATTAATTTACAATTATTACTCATTAATGAACCATTATTAAGCATTCATTAACAATTTGCAACCATTAATAACAAGTATTGACCATGATTTAAACATTATTGACTATTAATTACCCATTAATAACCATTAATAACAATTATTAATCATTAATTAACCATTATTAACCATTGATAACAAGTATTAACCATTGATTAACCATTATTAACCATTGATAAACAATTATTAGCCATTAATGAATCATGATTAACCACTAATGGAAACATTATTAACCATTAATGACAAGTAATAACCATTAATTAACCATTATTTACCTTTAAAAACAAATATTAACCATTAAAAAACAATATGAACCATTACTAAATGTATTAACCATTAATACCCATTATTATCCATTATTATCCATTAATAACAAGTATTAACCATCAATTAATCATCATTAACCTTTAATGAACCATTATTAACCATTGATAACCATTTTTAACCATTAATTAACCATTAATAGCAAGTATTAAACATTAATAAGCATTATTAACATTTAATTAACCATTAATTCACAATTGTTAACCATTAATGAACCATTATTAATAATTAATTAACCATTAATAAGCACTATTAACCATGTATTAACCATTATTAACAAGTATTAAGTATTAACCATTAATTAACCATTATTAACCATTGATAAACCATCATTAACCATTAATTCCCCATTATTAATCATGAATGAACCATTATTAACCATTAATTAACCACTATGAACCATTAATTACCTATTATTAACCATTAATTAACAATTAATGAGACATTATTACCCATTAATAACAAGTATTGACCATTGTTAACCATTAATAACAAGTATTAACCATTAATTAACCATTATTAACCATTATTCACCATTATTAACCACTATTAACCATAAATTAACCATTATTAACAAGTATTGACCATTATTAACCATTAATAACAAGTATTAACCATTAATTAACCATTACTAACCATTATTAACCATTGATGAACCATTATAAACCATTATCAACCAGTAATAACAAGTATTGACCATTATTAACCATTAACAACAAGTATTAACCGTTAATTTACCATCATTAACCATTACCAGTAGTACCGCACAAGGCGGTGGCGGAAGTTTCAAAAATAGGAAGCCTATAGGAGAGGCTGGTTGTTGTGAATCAGGGATGGCAGAGCGAATCCACTGATGGACCGAAAGGTGCTTGAGGTCTCCTCTCTTTCGCTCTCTTTCTCTGTCTATCTGCCTACCTACCTATCTATCTATGTTTCTATCTATCTATCTATCCATCTATCGATCTATCGATCTATATAAATATGTATATATATATATATCTCTCTCTCTCTCTCTCCCTTTCATCTGTCTATCTGTCTACCTGTCTACCTGTCTATCTGTGGTGCAGTGCCATTCAGTGTAATGTAGTGTAGTGTAATGTAGTGTAGTGTAGTGTAATTTAGTGTAGTGGAATGTAGTGGAGTGTAGTGGAGTTCAGTTGTGTAGTTGTAGTTGTAATGTTGTGGAGTGTTGTGTAGTGTAATGTAGTGTAGTGGAGTGTAGTGTAGTGTAACGTAGTGTAGTGTAGTGAAGTGAAGCAAAGCGACATCTGAACCTGCAAAAGTGGTCCGAACCCCTAGTGTTTTGGACATTTTGACTTCGAAATGTGCTTCGCGCCACAACGACGTGCACTTTTTCGACATCTCAACTTCCAAAAGTGGTCCGAAGCTGGTGTGTTTTGTACCTTTTGACTTGGAAATGTGCTTCGCGCCACAACGGCGTGCACTTTTTCGACATCGCAACTTCCAAAAGTGGTCCGACAATGGTGTGTTTTGTACATTTTGACTTCCAAATGTGCTTCGCGCCACAATGGCGTGCAACTTTTCATCTCTCATCTGGCCAGCTGGCTCCGCACCCGCCGCTTTAGCGAGCCTACTTTTCGACCCTCCGGAGTTCCAAATCATTGGAAAAACGCAGTGTTTCGCGACTTTCCTACCTTTTCGCGCATCTCCATCTTCTTTCTTCTTACTCTTCCTCTTCTACTCTTCTTTCTTCTAATCTGTCTCTTCTCTCTGCCTCTTCCCTGCTCTGCTTTTCCTCTGTCCATATTGTCGGAAGTTTGACTTCTAAACTTCCTTCGCATAACAAGTATTGACCATTATTAACAAATAACAACACGTATTAACCATTAATGAACCACTATTAACCATTAATGAACCATGAACCATTATTAACCATTATTAACCATTAGTAACCATTAATTAACAATTTGAAACCATTAATAACAAGTATTGACCATTAATTAACCATTAATAACAAGTATTAACCATCAATTAACCATCAATTAACCATTATTAACCATTATTAACCATTATTAACCATTAATTAACCGTTATTAACCATTAAATCACAATTATTAACCATTAATAACAATGAATAACAAGTATTAACTATTGATTAACAATTAATTAACAATTATTAACCTTTATTCACCATTATTAACCAGTATTAATCATTAATTAACCATTATTCAACATTATTCACCATTATAAACCATTATAAACCATTAAGGAACCATTATCAACCATTAAAAACAAGTATTAAGCATTAATTAAGCATTAATTAAACATTATTAACCATTATGAACCATTATTCACCATTTTAAACCATTAATGAACCATTATTAACCATTAATAACAAGTATTGACCATTATTAACCATTAATAACAGGTATTAACCATCAATTATCCATTATTAACCATTAATTATCCATTATTAAACTAAAATAACACGTATTACCCATAAGTACCATATTAATTCATTAATGACACGTTGCCATTTTGCCATTGGAATGAACAAGTAGTCCCCATTAAGTTAACCATATAAGTCATTTAAGGAAACCATTATTAAACCACTGAAAAAACAATGAGTTACCATCTAATGTAACCATTATGTAAACCATGAAGGTAACCTTTATAACATATTAATAACAAGTATTAACCATTGAATTAAATACCAATTAAAATAACCCACTTATTAAACGTTATTCACCATTTGATAAACCAGTATTAACCATTATTAGCCATTAAATAGCAAGGTATTGACCACTATTATAAAATTAATAAACAAGTATCTAAACCATTTACAACTAACTTTATATAACCTTAATAACCAATTATTAAACCATTAATAACAAGTATAACCATTGCATTACCATAAAAACACTTAATAAACTTTTATTCACCATTATTAACTAGTATTAACCATTATTAACCATTAATAGCAAGTATTGACCACGATTAACAATTAATAACAAGTATCAACCACTAACTAACTATCATTAACCATTTTTAACAATTAGTCACAATTATTAACCATTATTAACCAATCATGAACCATTATTAACCATTAATAACAAGTATTGACCATTAATTAACCATTATTAACGATTATTCACCATTTGTTAACATTTTTAACCATTAATGAACCCGTTATTAACCATTAATAACAAGTATTGACCATTATTAGCCATTAATAACAAGTATTAACAATCAATTAACCATTATTAACCATTAATTAACCGTTATTAACCATTAAATCACAATTATTAACCAGTAATAACAATGAATAACAAGTATTAACTATTGATTAACAATTAATTAACAATTATTAACCTTTATTCACCATTATTAACCAGTATTAATCATTAATTAACCATTATTCAACATTATTCACCATTATAAACCATTATTAACCATTAAGGAACCATTATCAACCATTAAAAACAAGTATTAAGCATTAATTAAGCATTAATTAAACATTATTAACCATTATGAACCATTTTTCACCATTTTAAACCATTAATGAGCCATTATTAACCATTAATAACAAGTATTGACCATTATTAACCATTAATAACAGGTATTAACCATCAATTATCCATTATTAACCATTAATTATCCATTATTAACTAAAATAACACGTATTAACCATTAATTACCCATTATTAATCATTAATGACACGTATTTTCCATTAATTAACAATTATTCCCCATTAATTAACCATTATTAATCATTAATTAACCATTATAAACCATTAAAAACAATTATTTACCATTAATTAACCATTATCAACCATTAATTAACCTTTATTAACCATTAATAACAAGTATTAACCATTAATTAACCATTAAATAACACTTATTAACTTTTATTCACCATTATTAACCAGTATTAACCATTATTAGCCATTAATAGCAAGTATTGACCACTATTAAAATTAATAACAAGTATCAACCATTAACTAACTATTATTAACCATTAATTAACCATTATTAACCATTAATAACAAGTATTAACCATTGATTAACCATTAAAAACACTTAATAACTTTTATTCACCATTATTAACTAGTATTAACCATTATTAACCATTAATAGCAAGTATTGACCACGATTAACAATTAATAACAAGTATCAACCACTAACTAACTATCATTAACCATTTTTAACAATTAGTCACAATTATTAACCATTATTAACCAATCATGAACCATTATTAACCATTAATAACAAGTATTGACCATTAATTAACCATTAATTAACCATTATTAACGATTATTCACCATTTGTTAACATTTTTAACCATTAATGAACCCGTTATTAACCATTAATAACAAGTATTGACCATTATTAGCCATTAATAACAAGTATTAACAATCAATTATCCATTAATTAACCATTAATAACACGTATTCACCATTAATTAACCATTAATTAACCGTTATTAACCATTAATAACAAGGTATTGACCATTATTCACCATTATTAACCATTAATTAACCGTTATTAACCATTAATATTAACATTGATTAACAATTAATTAACAATTATTAACATTTTTTCACCACTGCTCACCTGACTACATCCACATCGTTGGTTACATCCCCATCATATCCCCATATATTACCCTATGTACCCACTTATTTATCCACATACTATCAATATTATCCCATGTTTATAAGTATTTTATCCCTATATAACTTTTAATAGTTCATTTCTTTATACTTATCAGCATTAATATCCACACATTATCCTTTAGTAACCCTTATTACCCTCTGGTAAACCAACATAACTATGGAAAATCACAATTTTCATGGGAAATTTCACTATAAATGGCCATTTTCAATAGCTATTTTGACATAACCAGAGGGTAATATCCTTCGTTGATGAAGCCCTGGGTCATTCCGACCACACCACGCCTCTCGCAGAGATCTTTGATGTCGTCGATCATCCAACTGGCCAAGGTGCTTGGGGCGCCGCCGCCCTTGCCTGCCATGGCGAGGATGGCTTTGCTGCGAAAAAAAACAAGGGTTTCTAGGGATTGGTTTAAGGGAAAATCCATAGGAAATCATAGGGATCATTTCACAGTAGGCCAAAGAACTGCCGTTGCATGGTAGTTCGTTTTTGGGACGGAATATGGCGGATTACCGTTCTATTAATCAACCAAACATGATGGTTTATGATAATTTAGCCACCAATCTTGGGGATATTCATCAGCAAAGACTGGACATAAATTACTCAGAAATGATGGTGAGAGATATACATACATGTATATATATATATATATAATATACACATCCACACACACACACATACAGGGTTACCCCGACTGCTTCAATGCAGATTATCCAAACTTCAAAGTGGGTTCCTCAGCAAATCCAAAAAACAAGAGCAACCATGGGACAGTTCAATGGAGATAGCATTCTATTTGGCAAAATCATTTGCAGTACGTGGATGGGAAACCCTGCAAATGCATGCAAATGCGCAAAATTGACAGGTGGACAACGTGTTTGATGCCAGTGTTGGGCCAATGGTATCCCTGCCATCTCAGTGGACGCGGTGTGTTTTTACTGGTTTACTGGGTTGATAATGCTGATATGGCAG